TATAATTCCCATTTTTGCATGAAAAAATGAATAAGAACTACAAAAAAAATAAATTCTTCACATTTCATCTTCTGGAATGCCTTTCCCCGTTGACTTCTATTGAACTGAGCCAAAAGAGCTCAATTGTTAATATTGAAAATGGCACATCATGTTATGTCTGTTAAATGCGCAACCCTGCTGGTGTGCAGGTTGGGTTTAGAGGTGAAAGGCCAATTTAGGCAGGTTCAGTCAGATTGTGGAGTGTGATCTTGAAGCTGACATGATGAAATGCAAACCAATATTCCCGAGACTAATGCAGGCGGGGTAGTGTGTGATATACAGCACTGTATAGTGGCTCTAAGTGAAGGGGCCTCCCGCTTTCATGGCACCGCAATCATGACAACTCGCACGTAGCTGAACAAATTCCTCCCGTTGTGATCCATGCATCTGAGAATATTGGAGACCAACTGCACTATCCCTGTGGGAGGCACATAGATCTGTAGAGGTGCATAGAGTTGCAGATTTGCCCCTAAGAGCCCATTAGTGGCTGTGGCACAAGTACACAATATTCCCTCCAAATCTCATTTGTTTATCATCACAGTGGATGGAGCTTATGAAGTTATGCCGCCATGGAGCTCCAATGGATATGAGATGACTTTGTCTTCAGTAAAATTCAGTTTTTTTTTCAAAATTGCATGTTTTCCAATTTTCTACATTTTGTTTTAATGGTTTAATTAAGTGTTAATAATAGGATGTTTAATCAATTGAATTAATACAACTAACAATTTATAAAAATTTGAACAACAATAGTTTTTTTCCCTGAAATTCTGTTGTTGGTTTTTAATACAAATGTATTATCAAACACCGTTGTAATCAAATGAATGCATACAACTTCAACAATTTAATTTTTCTTTAAACTTTTATTAAATGGTAAATTAATTCCCTTTCATTTTTGGAGAACAAAGTTTTTTTACTTTTTAAATTAAACCATGGATGAAATTATTTTATTTTTTTTATAATGTTTTTTGTATAATTATTATTGTAAATATTACTTTGAGAAGTGCATTCTGCTGTACGATAATCTTTTTTCAAACAGTTCTCAAATCTTTTTCAAACAATTTTATTTTGATGAGTTGCCGTGAAGACCTTTCAGTTTCTATGTGTAGCTGACAATAGTTTTATCAAATTAAATGATGAAATGCTTGTGAAATGACTCTTAGATAAGCTCTGAAGATGTCAAGTTCATTGCAAATGCTGAGAGCACCACAAGCCTCATGCGTACTTGAGTATGTTTAGTAGATGAAACTGCACTGCTCATTCACACAAAGACACACAGAACATGCAGACTTTATATTTCAGTAGTAGTCATTTGTGTAATATTCACTGACATTAGTCTCTCACTATTTGATCAAGTGTTCAGCCCTACTTTTGATTTATTCACCTAAATTATGCCAAATTCTGTGACATTCCGTGCTATACGGCACGTGATTCCATTTGCGTTTCTGCATTGTGGAAACCAAAGGGCCCTAGTCACAACCTCATTTCTGTAGCTGACACCAATATCACTGCAATTTTATGATTCTTGATACCAATTTCAATAGCACAGCAAAAACTAATGCACAAATAAACACAGTCATGGACGCTTCAATAAGTTAGCTTGTTGGTTTCTGATCTCATGTTTCCTGGTTAACTTCATCTTGTACTTTCCACCACAACAACTTTATGATGCCGTTTTTTCCAGATCAACAGCCCAATGAATCCATAATTAATTACAGATTTTCCATCGCTCTGGATAGTGGTTGGTCTCTCAAACAAAGTTTATTAAGCTAAACTGAGTTGGAAACAAACCCCCACCCGCTGTTATCTCATATCCAGTGGCCCAGTCCAGTCAGGGCTAAATGCATCAGAAAACAGCTGCCAGGCCTATTTATAACATGCAGGTGACACGCAGCACATGGGCCAGTCACATCATCACTCTGAGCTGTTTGTGAGATACTATTAACCTGACTTGCATGTCTACAGATTCAGACCTCAGGCTTGTCTCTTTGAAACATTTCTAGTGTCACTTAAGTGGTGCATATACAGGGACACTGTTCTTCTAGAAAGGCACTGTGGAAGTGTTTTTTTATGGCTTGCATGCTATTTCCAGGAAAACCATATGAAAGTTTGCATGAGGAATAGAAATTGAAGTTATTGACTGAGAATCTTCCACTTCGCCACAGCTCTCATTCTTGCTTTCATATATTTAAAGATAGGGTAGACGATTTCAGAGAGGCTAGCAATAGCAAGCTAGCTTTGAAAGCATAAGATCCCACCCTCCCTGCAAATCACTCTCCAAAGCCACGCCTCCTGTGTCTCACAACATCCTTTATGCCTGTATGTGGATTGTACAAATATGTAACCAATGAAAAGGATTTAAAAGAGCTTGGGAGCAAACCTCAGAACTCCATTAGCTCCTCAAATTGTCAGTCAAACTCAAACCTCATAACTCCGCCCTGCCTTTATCATGTATGAAGTGCCGCGCACAGTTTGGAGATGGATCTCTGCTTGTGTGCAATGCAAAGGTAAATAAAGAACTGGTTGCTTGAATAAGTACAGTGTTTTCTTTACTCAAACACTGTGTGTAAAGGCTAATGTTCTGAGTCTGAGTCTGGTCCAATATAGTACTGTTTTAAATATCCTGTGCATAGCGCGTCGTCTTTTATATCATGAGATTTTGTCCAAATGTATTCAACAAGAAGAAAAACTGAGCGCCTGTACAAAAACACTAAACCTGTAAGTTGATGCGATGCACTGACTGCCTCAGATGCGGGTGTTCCAGTGACGGACTAAATATATCTGCCATTCGCTGGTCAAAAACCTAAAAAATCCATCTCTATCTGAGTTTGATTTTCATAAAATATTAATATATTATGACACATGCACATGTCTGACCATATATAAAGCCACTACACCAACTTTGATGGCACAGTGTTTAATTATTATATATATAAAAATAAAAAAAGAGAGCGAGGTTTCTGCACAACAGCAACAATGAAAATGTGTGATTTCATCATCACTAGCAACATCATATAGCTACGTATGAACTTATTGTGTTCATACCTGACTTAAGCTCAAGTTTCATCTTAAATGTGAGTACTACTTTTAATACAAGATCCCGTTTTAATATACCATTTGAAGCAATGCATGTTTGTGCAGTTTTGTTATTTTAGTGCTTAATAGTTGTGCCGTGGGATTTTTTTACTTATCAAAACTGCTGTGGCGAAAAAAAAAAGGTTGGGAAACATTGCTCTAAATTGCTAAATTATTCAAAGTAGTGCTGCTACAACCATCAAAAACACAATGTTAATAATAATAATAATGATAATAATAGTAAAAATAACAAATAATAATTAAAGCTGCAAGCATTTAAAATGGTAAATATAGGAGGAATATGTCAGTCATTTATATGTGCCAAACTTCCTGCTGCCAGCTGGTGGCGCTATGATTATAACTAAATATTGGCCTTTAGATGTCTTCAGGCTGGGACTCATCAAATGTGTGAAGTTTGGGGCAGATTGGACATTGTATGGCTGAGTTACAACAACGTCATTTTCCATGGCGAAACGTCAAAATTTGTCAGGCCGCCACGTACACACCCTTCGAAGAAAAGTGGAAGTGGAAATTCAAAATGGCTGATTTCCTGTTGCATTTAGGACTTCGTTCGAAGAGACTTTTTTTTTTGTAGGTATTGGGACATTACATGCATGAACCGAATTTCGTATACATGCGTGTAGGTGGTTGTAGGTGGCGCTATTGAGCCATTTTCTGAAACCCATATCAGATGTAAATTTTCGCCACTTCTGACGCTTGTACAAATGCAAAATCTGAATATCACACATGAATTGTAGGGACTTGGTGCATTCATGTCATGTCAAAAATATCGTATTTACGAGTTGAACGCACGTGAACACAACCACAAAGTTGTAATGATGACTGGGAAAATCTTCTTTAAGCCCAGAGTTTCGGAGTTAGTGGCGTGTCACTGAGAAAATATTGGTGATGCAATAGATGCAGTATCTGTGTTGATGGTAAATATATTGAAAGTAATACAATTTTTTTATTTTCCTCTTAAATAAAACTAAGTTGCATGTACAGAATACAATAGAATTTTACAATTACGATAGAATATAATAATTTAATTTACAACACTTTCATAAATTGAATAAAAACTTAAAGCAAAAACACACTGATGCACATTCTTTAATGTTTTTGTAGATACATTTTTAATTCTTTTTGAAGAAAAGATACATCGCCATCTTCCTCCAAACAAATAATTTGAACATACCCAACATCGTAAATACGAATTTCCCAGGAACAACACACCATATGATATTTTTGTGAAATTAAAGACTATAGTTATTTAAGAAGATTTTTTCCCCCTGAAACCAAAATGTAAGTTCTGTCAGGACCACTATCGTCAAAATGATAGATACTTAGCATAACGTTTGGTTTGGCAGTATGGTTCTGTTCTTGGCAAAAACCTCCCTGCCCATCCATGCAGCCTGTCATGAATGAGCAGGGAGAGCAGCAATAATAACCCCCCTAGGGTTAACAGAACAGAAAAAGGCAGATTCATTAATGTACTTGATATTTAAGTGTAACACTTTATTCAAGATAAAGGAGTCTGATTAGCAAGGAATATCAGAAAGCCAAGTCCTGACTGTGGCGAAAGGAGGAGCTGGGGATGGAGGAGGGTAATTTGCTCCTGAGCAAGCTGAAAAGCTGCAGAATAATACTGAATAGAGCTTATATAGGAATGCTGCGATAGGTGTCGTATTCCTATAGGTAGATGTGATCAGCTGAGAATCAGCTGATGCAAGCTTGACTCACGTGACCTGCCAGAACTAACGCTAACGCTTAGCAGGAAATGTTGCTTAATAATATATTTATGGGGGAAGCATCACCCCAAGCTCAGCAAGTGAGGAACCAGAGGAAAACGACTGTAGTTACGTGTATTTTTTATTTAATTAAATTTTTTATTTTTAAAGCGCTGCTTGTACTTGCTTAGAATAATTGGACTATATTTAAATCCTTTGTGTTCATTTGAGCGCTCAGTCGTAACCTTCCAATCACCACCGAAGT